CCGTGCGTCGCAACACCGCGCTATTGCTAGCTGCGGCCGCTTGTGCGAAGTCGCCGCGTGCGCTCTGCCACCGCCGTCGCATCTGCCTGTCGCTCTGCTGCCTCGCGCTCGCCTGTGCGGTACCGTGTGCGCGTGGCCACACTTGGCCCTGCCCGCATGTCACCTTGCCCCGCCTGCCTTGCCATCACATCGGCGCTCGACGACGCTGTGTTGTTGCCTCCTCTGATCGACGCCATGCCATACGGCGCACAGGGCCGAGCCGCCGTTGTCAGTTTGTGATTTATGGCCGTGCGGCCCACCGTCCTGAGCGCGTTTGGCTGGTTCCCAATCGTCCTGTAGCACGTGCGCATTAGTGCTTCGAGTTGACAGCCGCGTCCTGCCACGGCAGCGGCGAGCAACGCCATGCCTGTCTTCCCCTGTTCCTCTGGCGCTGAGGTCACCGGACCCGCTCCTCTAAATTCGGCCTGGTGGAGCCACCTCAGTCCAATTAACCCCGTCCGTAGCTCCGTCGTGTAGTCAGCCAACCGCCCGACCCCAGCTTGCAGTGAACCTCGCCGTGCCATGCTCTAATTCAAAGTTTTCCTCTCGCCGGATTGTTAAGACCGTCGTGGCACGCGTCGAAGGCAAAGTCCCCAATCCAGTGCTGCTCGCTTCAATTCATTGCACCGCCAACTTTGCCTCCACCTGCTAATCACCCTGCGCACCTTTGCCTAATCGCTACCACCTCCTAGCCGTCCCTGACGTAGCCTTGCCACCGCCTGTGCACCGCCGCACCGTCCGCGCGCACGTGGACAACTCGGCTCGAGCTGTCTCTGGCCGAACCACTGCGTCGTCTGTGTCCGTGGTGAGTTCCTGGAGCTCACTCGCTACCCCAAGTTCTCCAGCATTGTTGTAGCTCACCGAAACATCATCGTTTTTAGTGCAGAAGCTCTGCCGTCGTGGTCTGGCTTTACTGCAGTGTCCTGGCTCATGCTTCCTTCGCCTAGTGCCTCGCGTTCGCGCCTTGGAAGGTATCGGCTCCGTAGATAGGGCGGAGAGGGCCTAGTGTGGCCGGCGTAACCGCCCGATGCCAGCGACGCCGCGCCGGTGCGCACGCGGGAGGCCTGAGGGTATGGCCATGGTAAAGAAAGAAAGGGGGAGGATGTAGTTGTAAGATAGCAGGCTGGTGGAATAGTGCTCTTAGTGCTCGTGTGATTATCGGGTAGGACAAGGCCGTTTTCGCAAGATGACCGGCGCGCGCGGGTCTTCCCCGTCGCGGGCCGTCGTCACGCGGACTGGACCGCGCGCCGCGTGGGCCGCACCGTAAGTCGCGAGCGCGCGCGTTGCGTCAAACTGGGCCGAGCCGCTCGCGTTTTGGGCCACGCGGTAGAATTAGGTTTTCCATTTTCCAGTAAGGTAATAAATGCCTATTCAATTTGGTTTTGAGCTGAACTTTGATAAATTATAGTAAATCTTATAAATGTCCAAAAATAGTGAAATAAAATTTGTTAGATTCATAAAAATGCTATCTATCTGTTGGTGTAGTTAGTTTACGGTTAGCTGTGATAATGATAGGTTCATGAATTCAATTTAGAAAGCTTAGTATTACTTAGCTTAGTATTTGTAGGAATTTTTGTGGCAAATTGATGATAGCTTTAGCCATGAAATGTTTACAACAGGTTCATTAGATTATTATGTACTCACTGTAATTTTTGTAGCACTAGAGTAAGATGATAGATAGAGTAGTTAGTACTCCCTGTTTAATCATATATCGAGTAAATCGGTATTAAGAGTAAGAATATCTTTAGTTGCGAAGATAATATATGTCATGCGATATACTTGTTAGTGTTAACAGTAGGTAACTTAGCACCTAAGTCGGTAGAACTCGCTTAGTAGCTTGATAGATGTATTTTTATTTTAAGACTTGGACCCCCCCTACCTATACCAGAGCTGTGGAAAACACTATAGAGCCCATATGAATTTTTAGACAAAGTTCTATAGTGTAGAGGGGCTGATACTTAAGATCGAACAGCAGTCGAAGTTATATGTTGTTCAGTCTCCCCTAAAATATTTTCTGGATCCACTTAGCACCTTAGAACACCGCCGCCCCTCCCCCAAATAGCATGATCAAAAGAAAAAAAAAACTTAAGCTCCTCATGGCATAGCTTTCCCAACAGCTTCACGAGCTATTTGAAGTTACTTTATGCCAAACGGGTATTTTGGAAACAACTTCACAGGTGAAAGCTCTTTAAAATATGCTCACAAGGGGTTGATGTGGGATAAAACTGAAAATAGCAGCTTCTCCCATATTCAACTTGCTTTTATAAATCTTTGTGTGTGGGATTCTGTAAGAGCATATTTTAAGAAGTTCTATATGTAGAATTGTTTTGCAAAACGGTTCACCAAAACATCCATAGCTATCTACCGATAGACCTACCCGTAGAGATGAAAGAAAAAAAAATATTTCACTGGTGAAGCAAAGCTGTGTCAAACTGGACCTTAATACACCGTCCCTAAATAAATACACATCTCGCTTCACACCGGGTCAAACTTTTTTTTCAGGTTGACTAAAAATATAGAAAATAGTACGAACATAAGTAACACCAAGTAATATATTCTATGCTTAATCTAATGATAGTTAGTATACATCATAAATATTAATATATTTTTTATATATTTGACTAAATTTTTAAAAAAATGACTTCACGGAAAATGAGATTAGCATTTATTTTGGGAGGGAGTATGTATTCGATAGTGTACTTAGTCTTCTCCAATGTCCTTTGCGCTATGCACTCTTCTTTAAACTAAGTCACAGGGGCCAAGGCACCTGTGGCAATTTTCTACAGTCTACATACATCGCTGCAAGATGCACGTACTCACAATAGTATTTTTTTTTGTTTGGGCAACACAATACTAGTATTTCTGACTGAGTCACCAAAACCTCAAAATCACCATATTGGTGAAGCTCCTGGGGCCCAGCCCATTAAGCGATTTTGTTGTTGTTGTCGTCGTGTCTGCACATTTGATTCGTCCACGAACTCTACGTACTCCCTTCGTCTAAAAAAACACAATTCTAACTTTAAACCTGGACATAGCGCATGTTCAGGTTCAAAACTAGGATTGCGTTTTTCTTTAGACGGAGGGAGTACCCGATAGACGATTAGACATGCACAGGACAAGCGTTTACTCTCAGAATCTCAACGCTACGTCCAATCTCCACGTTCTACAGAGCGTGCTCCGTCCATTTTGCTAGCACACTGATGATGGGATGCTTGTGGACGGCGTGTGCTCTGCTCGATCGGGCTTTAATTTGCAGGTACTAGAAAAGCACGTACCTTATCTGCCCCCATTGCCGATCATGGGGCAAGTCAACCCTGGAATTCCCTTTGTTCGGCTGGTATTAAAATAAGTTAATAAACCGACTGAAGCTGTTTTGTTCTGAGAAAAATATTGTAAATTCTAGCTAATACGATGATAGCTCGACACTGACGGGCTCAGCCTTTTCCTCGTCGTGACCTGTAACCCGTTGAAGTGGTAGGCATTTGTGAGTTGTGACGGGCAGAAAACAAGTGTTTGCGTGTGATGAAGGCCGTCGATACGTACATAGAGCCTGCCAGTCTCAACTTCTCAAGATCAATCAATATCAACGCATCTATTTTTTTTCCGTCCACGTTTCCTTCCAGAATGTGCTATATATAGGGACACTGCAGCTATTGCATAAAGCCATAAAAGGTGCCAGTGTGTGTGGTCCTGCACCCGGTCACGCCCCACAGTGGCATAGTGGAAGGAGTATTCCATCGTTCCTCCGGCAGAGTGATGCGCGTGTGCCTGCCTCGCCATTTTCAGGCCATCCATTTGTAGGGCAGGGCAGTAGGGGATGGCGGATTCGCTGCAGGCTGCCAAAAGCAACAATGATCAGGCTGTTCGTTTCGTCGTAAACGATCATGGATTATTTACTGTTGGCTGATTTAGTGTGAGAGAAAAATATTATTTTAGTTTATAATCCACGATCGTATACGAGCAAGCAATGTTCGGACTGCGTACATAAATTATTGCCAATAATGAGTGGCCAATGCTTTGATGACACGAAGGTCCAACAACGAGGTGTGTATCAGTACATGACATGAGGCCTCAGCTCCGATTAGAATTTCGATCGTGCGGTGGGTCTTTGTTTGACAAAGAAATGACACAGTTTTCTCTGGTGGAATTATTGATCACACTCTTTTTTTTTTGTCGTGGTCAACGAACAACTCTCGCACAAGTCGTGTGCTCAGGACTTTCTCGGTGCGTCGTAGCGCGCGTAGCCGGCAGCCCAAGCCCAGCCTTGCGACTTGCGTTGCGGAGGACGTGGCGTAACACATCTAGCAACAGTCCAACGGAGCAATTTTGGCTGCTCTCCTAGCTAATCGCGATGCACGCACGCACGCGTGAGGGTTAATGGCTTAATTAACGCGCGCGCGAGACGTGCTCTGTACTACCAAGCAAACGTGGCGGACGGACGTGCTCCGATCCATGCTGCCTCCACGAGAAGCACTACTACCCCGGTGTGGGGGTGTCCTCGCACATTATGCCCGCAAAATCGTCGCACGAAAACCATTACCAGAAGCATTATCTCTCATCAGAAGAAACAACAACAAAGGAGCGGTTGCAAGAAGATGGGCGGCATCGATCCTCAAGTGGCGATCCACCTGCAGCTCGTCTATATATCCATGCTCGCGTTCGTGGAGTCCAAGCGCAAGTTAACACCATTCTTCCCGCTTGGACAGTTGGATCACTGAAGATTCCGGCCATCCATCCATCCTCCAGGGCTCACCCATCTTTTCTTTCCAAAAGGGGTGGTGTGGTGTGGCCGCGATCGATCGAGCTCATCTTGAGGTCAGGTCAGGTCGCTACGAGCGCTTTGCATGATTGCCTCCCTTTACGATCCGATCCATCTTCTGATAGATACGGGGAATCAACCAGCTTCTTCTGCGTGTCCTCTTTTTTGCAGGAATCGAGTGCCAAGCCTCTGCGCGCAGCAAATGAAAGGTAAGATGACGATGATGAAACGTGACCGTCACTAGTTCGCCATAGATGCCATGAACACCATATATTCGTGCGTTCGGCTTGGGCCTTCATCACTTCAGGCTGTTCTTTTTTGTGTTTGTGTGACTGCATCTCCATTTCTTTCAGGCGGCGGCTTCAGAGTTTTCATTCAGATGACGACGACTTGCACCGCAAATGCAGCCTTCTTTCTCCTGCTGCTGCTGTGTGCTTGCTGCGTCGCCGCCCTTGCCTGTGACCCTAGTACGTGATTGCACCCTACTACATTATTATTCTCTCAAGTTTCAACTGCCTGCCTGTTCGTTTTGTTGCCTTCGATTAATTTCTCTGCTATCTCAGATGGCGGTGGCGCCAAGTTCGGGTACATCGGCTCTATCGGTCCTGCGCACTGGGGCACCTTGAGCCCCAACTTCACGCAGTGCGCGAGAGGGAGGAGCCAGTCCCCGATCGACATCTCCACGGCCGAAGCGGTTTTCAACCCAGCGCTGCAGCCACTCCACAGGGACTACACCGTCGCCAACGCTACCCTTGTCGACAACGTCTTCAACATCGCGGTTTGTTTGTTTCTTTCAAACAAAGACTGCTATGATACTAGTTTAGAACAGAACAGAAAAGGAAATGTCTCATCCGTCGATATCTCAGAATTTCGTTGATGGATGCAGCTGCGCTTCGACGACGACGGAGCTGGGAGCGTGCGCATCGACGGGAAGGTGTACAGGCTGAAGCAGATGCACTGGCACTCGCCCTCCGAGCACACCATCAACGGGCAGAGGTTCCCCGTGGAGCTCCACATGGTTCATGCCAGCGACGACGGCAACGTCGCCGTGGTGGCCATGCTCTACCGGTTTGGCAGGCCGGACCCTCTGCTTTGGCAGGTACTCCGTAGTAATTAATTTAGCATGCATCATCATCGTCAACAATGCATCGTAACTGAATTTTTGCGTTTGTTTTGTTCGTGAACGTACTTGACAGATTCAGGACAAGCTGGCTGCGCTGTACGCGGAGGGCTGCAAAGCGGAGGAGGGCGCTCCAGTCCCCGCCGGGAACGTGAGCCTCTGGTCGATGAGGCTGTACTCCCACACGTACTACCGCTACGTCGGGTCCTTCACCACGCCGCCCTGCACCGAGAACGTCATCTGGAGCGTCCTGGCCCAGGTGAGGGAGATGACGGTGGATCAGGCCGCCGCCCTGATGGCGCCACTGGAGCAAGCTTACAGGCGCAACAACAGGCCGACGCAGCCGACGAACGGGCGCATCGTCCAGGTCTACCACAGGTTCATGAACAAGAAGACGGCGCCGTAGCCGTGATCCGTATGGGGAAGACGCGTGGTCCTCTGGGTCCCTTGTCAGTTGTTTCTCAAAGTCGTTTGTGTTCTGCACTTGTGCTAGGTTGGTCTCGTGAGACGCGGGCCATGTCCCCGCCGGTTTTGGTACTCTCAAGACTGGAGTTGGTCAGTAGGTTCATACAATCATAGGAGATGTATAAGCTGTTTGGTTTCTGCAAAGTTGATCCTCCTTATCTGTAAGAATAAGATGGGATGTGGATCAATCAAAAGGTTTCTTTCAGTCGAGCGTGTTGTGTTGCATCATGCAGACAACTCATATGTGCTGACTACCTAGTGCCGAAATGACGATCCGTAGGCGCGCGTGACGCCTGTGGCTTCCGCCGCAGACCGCCTAATCTCCTGGGACTGGGATGGGAACCTGATCGGCTGATCCTCATGCCTCCGAACATGGCTGCGCTTTCGGCGGCTTCCATGACCGTGCAGCGGTGCTGGCGAAACAGCCGTGCAAAGCCACGCTCACGGATTTTTGGCTGACTAAAACCCCGAAGTCAGGAGGATTTCGTAGTAGAGAGAAAAAAAAATGAATGAAGAAGAAGAAGAAAATGTTTTGTAGCTGCCTAAACCAAAAAATATCCATATCCGGGTTCGAACCGGAGACCTATTGATCGGCAGTCAGTTGCTCTACCACTGAGCTATTGACCCGTTGTTCTCTACGTGGCTAATAAGTTCAATGAAATGTAAATTCCACTCCCCAAGTAGCATTTCTCACCAGGGGAGATCCCCTACTGACCTTTTTATTGCAAACAGGAGGCTTTTACAAAATCAGACTAAGGGGACAAGAAAGAAAACAAAGAAGGAAAATCACATAAAAGCATTTAGCCATGATTCTATCGGAAGGAAGTGTTTCTTGTTTGCTCGCACGATCATACTGGCAAAACTCAGCCATGAAAATTTCCTTGCAGTGTGCAACTATTGGCGTTAAATTCTAGAAGATGTGCGCCCTGCTCGTTTGGCTTATAAGCCGTACTTTTTCAGCCAATAAACATTATTTTTCTCTCACAACAAATCAACCAACAGTACTTTCAGTCATGACTTATCAGCCAAACGAACAGGGCAGTGATTGTTTCTTGTTGTCCAAATGCTCCAACAAAGTAAGATAATAATCTCCATAAAGAAGGGACCTGCAACTGAGATTTGAAGGCCTCCGAAACAAGAGAATAATATAGGGATCACAATTGCAAATGGGGAATTTTACATTGACAATTGCAAACTTATATGTTTGTATTTCATCTATGATGGGGAAAAACATATGCAAACCTCAAAGGGAAGGCTATAGACAAGCAAATCTAAACGCATGTTGAGCATGTCTGCTAGGCTTATTCTAGATAAATGATTCTATTTTTATTCCATGGAATGATCTTCTAAAATAACTAAACGACACTAGTTTCTCTTGATTCACTTTCCATGAGAATTAGAGATGATCACTTTTATCACATAATCACTTTTCTTTAAAAATCAAGTTTTCCATTGAGCATGAGAAATTCTACCAAATTTGCCCTAAGCAGTGCATCTCGCGACTCTCGCATTCTCAATGGATATCAACATGTAAGTGGGTAACCGAATTTTCTTAACATCATATTCCCTCTATCCTAGAATATAGTGCATTATGACTTCTAAAATTTGTACTGAAATGTAATGCATTTTATGTGATGCCCATACTAAGATTTGGCAAAGATCGTTAAAAACAAAACCATAATTTAAGGAGAAACTCCTGAAATGGGTTTAACCTATGAATACATATGCCATTTGACTATTCATTTAAGTTATTTTTAAAAAAAATTAGAATGCGCTATGTTAGAGGATAGATGGAGTATCTTTCGTCTCGTCATACATTTGGCAGGTTGGACTCAAACTCCAAATGCCAAATGGTAACGGTTGGGAAAGCTGTATTCCGACATGATCGGTGGAGTAGGATCTTCGACGGAGACTCTAGGCGAATGTGGGAGCGCGAGTGGGCCCAGATACAATTAGGGTTTCATAAATGTATTCACCAATCTCCCTTTACATGGTGCTTGGCTCCCCCTTTTTATATGGCACTATTCACTATGGTACTGCTTTACACTTTTGTCCTTTGACAGCTAAGGCATATCCTTACGAATATTCTTATACAAGCATATTCTGCAGAGACATCCTAGACCTCTTATGTTTCCACCGCCTTTGCTCCTTGGGCCTTAATGGCAGGCCCGCTGGAGGCCCATCTCTGGCTAGGACTTCCTGTGCTTAACCGGCGGAGGCCCGCCTGATCTTCCGAGGTCCCCGCCTCCACTGTGCTGCTCGTGCCACTTGCACCTTCACTCTTGGCTTGTGGCATTCACCCGGTGCTCAGCTACGGGTCGTCGTCTTCTGGGCCTTCGCCTTCGCTCCCTGACCTTCGCCTAGCCGGAGGGTGCAAGCGAAGGTCTCTCCCAGGATGCCTGCAAAATCATCAGCTTATACATTTTTGTTATTGTTAGTGTCTGTAGTTGAGGTGGAGTTCAGCCTTCGCGGCTCATGTAGCTGTGTCCCAACAGTAACAGCAGAAATGACACATTTTAATTTTGTTGACACAGCCATGTTTGGTTGAAGTGGAAACCGCAGTTGACACATAGCCAAAGCAACACAAGAACCCCATCATTAGCCTCCGTAACCACCTTATAACCCGGACTCAACTACCCTCGCAATTCGCTACGGGTACTTGCCAGCGGTCACCGTCCACCGCAAGATTTTCAAAATCACCGCACCTTTGGCGCGTCGTCACCTTTTAAGGCGAGAGCGCCCAACTCCTCGCTTGTCAGTCACTCGCACTCACTCGCGAGCGGCCAAGATTGCCGCAGCTCGATCGATCTGGACCATCTCTTTTTCGTCGGCGCCCGCGGCTCCGGCTTCGCAGAGTCCATGTCCAAGGTGGCGTGCGAGATGGCCGCCGCGCTCCCCGACGCCGGCGCCGTCCAATCATGTGGCCGCGGTGGTGCTGGCAGCGCCAGCCCTCGTGCCGACGACGACGCGGGCGCGCCAGCGGAGTCGGTCCTGCTCCGGGTTCCGGACGGCGTCGGCTTGACCCATCTGTTTGGCGCGGCGCTGCGGCGGGACGGGTCCACCAAGGGCAGCTCCAACCCGAAGGAGGCCGCCGAGGCGGCGACGCGCAAGGGCGCGCCGAGGGCGGCGGACTCGAGGAGGTTGCCGGCCACGACGACGGCCAGCAGCAGCAAGACCGCCGTAGTCATCGGTGTTCTGCCAGCGAGCAAGGTGGTCGCCAAGGAGCGTCGCGCTCGCGCTCGCGCTCGCGGCCGCGTCGTCGTCGCCAGTGGCGCGTGGCGCCGGCCGGCGGCAGGGGCCAGGGTCTTCGCGAGCGAGGCCGTGGGGCCGGAGCCCGTGTCCCCGAAGGTGTCCTGCTTCGGGGCCGTACTGTCGGAGAAGTCTGCCGCGGTGCCGCCCGCGCCCGGCACGCAAGAGGAAGAGGAAGGGAGCGGGTGCTGGGCGAGCCTGGGGACCGCGCTTCTTGGCCTATGTCGCGACAGCAATGATCGTGATGGCCGCCTGTGCCGCGCGAGCGAACCAAATTCGAAGGACACGGCTCCGGAGCCTCAGCGGCAGAGCGTCGCCATGATGTCGCCACCGCGGCCCGTGGCGCCGGGGCTGGGAGACGTGAAGCGCCTCGCTTCGCGGCGGTGGCCGGAGACCATGGCGCGGGGAACGGTTTGAATGCCCTCCCGTACGTGCTTCGAGAGGCACGGCAGCAGCCTTGTACGGCGTCCACGGACCACGGTTGCCAACGCATGCAGCACCGTCTCCCTCCTCGGACCTGCTCCTGCCGTTCTGTTGTCGTGTTGTGTGTGTGCAAGCTGCATCTCGTGCCTTGTGTGACCTTTTTCTGTTTGTTTGCAAGCTGCATCTCGTGCCTTGTGTATCGACATTGGGCTCTGTCCCGTTTCTTTGTCACTCAAGTAGATAAATAATATATCCGTTGCAATTTGACCTTTATTTACCTATAATACCAATTCTCAAGCTGAAAAGTTGAAAAAAGTTTGGGCTTGACAAGTGACAAACTGATAAAATCTGCGAAAAAAAAGGTTTGCCTAGAAAAAGTCGCAAACTTTTGGGCTCGCACGCGAGATTAAAGGCCCAAACAAGAAACCCAGAATGAACCAGCCCATATCTCGGTACTCCAACGGGCAACGGATCAGCCTGACACGCTGACGCGGGCAGCGCCACTTTTTTTTGGTTTCTGCGCCTTCCTCCTGCCGTTCTGCCAAAGCCGACCGTTGGAATGAACCCCGCATCGGCATCTCCCACCACCACCAGCAGCACGAGAAAAATTAAGGAAAAAGAAACCGACATCTCCAGCAGCCCCGCCCTTCCATGACCGTTGCACAGTTCAAACCCCTCAAAACGGCCACTCCCCGGAGCCAGTCAAGCGACCATCTCACCGCAGACCGCACCGGTCGTCGGTCGAGAAAGCGAAAGCCAAAGCCGCGGCGGTTAGAAGAGAGAATAGCAGAGAGGCAGACCGAGAGCCGAGAGGCACGCGTGGGTCGTAGCGAGCCAGTGTCCATGGGGTGCATCTCCTCGAAGCTCCTCCCGCCGGGGCCAGGCGGCGACGGCAGGCGCGCCACGGTGCGCGGCCGCGTCGAGCACGTCGTCTCCCTCACCTCCACCACCTACGGCGTCCTCGACCTCCACCCCAAGCACGGAGGAGCCGTCCTCGCCGCCGCACCTGCCGCCGCTGCTGACGAAGAGGTGGAGAAGGAGCAGCAGCCGCCGCCGCCGCAGGACAAGCCGATAAGCAGGGAGTGGAAGCGCGCCAGCATGCGTCCGCCGCCCATCGCAGTCCCGAGCGCCGACAAGAAGCCGGCGGCGGGGAAGCCGGAGTCCGGCCTGGAGGTCATCAACGCGTGGGAGATCATGGCCGGGCTCGAGGAGGCCTACGCCGCCGCGGCCGGGTCGCCGCCGGCGAAGAAGCCGTCGTCCAAGCCGGGCCGGTGGTCGCCGGCCAGGGTCATCGCCATGGCCCTGCCGTCGCCCAAGAGGTCGGCGACGAGGCGGAAGAACACGCCGGGGAAGGAGAACAGCCCGCTCCAGCGCTGCTCGGGGAATAATACCAGCAACAAGGACAAGGACAAGCCCGGCGATGTCGACAGCGACAGGGTGCTCCGCCCGTACAATTCCATCGACAACTCCAAGCTGTCGATGGCGTCCAAGAGGTTCTCCCCGGGCAGCGCGCGGATCGTCCGCAAGCCCGGCACCGCCGAGACCGGCGGCAGCACCGGCACGTCCTCGTCGCGGCGCAGCCTGAGCCCGCTGTTCGACCCGGAGCTGCTCGCGTCCATCGAGCGCGAGCTCTCGGAGGAAGGCGCCCACATCAAGCGGATGGTAGGGTCCGAGAAGCCCAAGCACCCCAAGGCAGCGCCGCCGGCGATCGTGGCCGAGGGGAAGTGCCCGCCTGGGGGCGCCGATGCCGTCGTCCTCTACACCACCACGCTCCGCGGCATCCGCAGGACCTTCGAGGAGTGCAACGCCGTGCGCGCGGCGATCGAGGCCCACGACGTGAAGGTGATCGAGCGGGACGTGTCCATGGACTCGGGCTACCGCGAGGAGCTGCGCCTGCTGCTGGGCGGGCGGGAGGTGCGCGTGCCCGCCGTGTTCGTTCGGGGCAGGCACGTCGGCGGCGCCGCCGAGGTGGCCAAGCTGGAGGAGGAAGGCAAGCTGAAGGTGCTGCTGGAAGGCCTGCCCCGGGCGCGGGTGTGGTGCGCGGGCTGCGCCGGCGTGCGCTTCGTCATGTGCCGCGACTGCAACGGCAGCCGCAAGGTGCTCGACGCCGAGCGCAAGGAGACGGTCAAGTGCGGCGAGTGCAACGAGAACGGCCTCGTCCGGTGCCCGATCTGCTCGTGAATCTTGATGGGATCGTCGCCGCGAACGGTGGTGGGTGGATCTGGCGATTGATTGGTGGTGGTGTGAAAGCTGTGCATTGCTGTGTTCGATTGGGTTGATCTGCCTGTCTACCCGGCTGCTTTTGATTTTGCTATATGCGAATTGCGAAGTGCTTGTTGCTCTCGGCAACAGCTGCCACTGTAATATGAACTGATTCATTTTGTTGCGAATGTAGTTTAATTACCTAATTTAATCAAATGTAATTTGATTGCTTCTCATGGACTTATGTGCTGATGATTTGGGAATTGGGATGTGTCTGCTCTCTTCTCTCCAGTGTCGATCTGCCTTACATTTGAGTTTCCCGCTGGCCGCTGATAACTAGACTGTGCTGAAATGCAGAAATAAACGTCTCACACAGAAAGACAATAAACACGAACCAAGCAGGTCTTCTTTTAAACACGGAACCGGAGCAAATCTACGGTTTTCAGGTTTTGTGATTTATAACACGCTCATGAGGAAGAAGCATCAGATCTCCTTTCCATTTGACTCGAACCTGATAAATGTTTTCACATACGTCGTGAAATGACCAGATGGGTATGATAATGCAAACTTCTTATGATCGGGAAGCATAGCATTATCGTTGTCAGCTTCCCAATCATCAGGTCATGATGACGAATGTGTTGAACACTTTTATGTTGTTTTGATTCCAGGATTAGACTCGTTTTCATTCTTTCAACGAGAAAATGAAAACTACCATCTCTAGTCAAGTTTACTTGACATTTCCCAAAAGAGAGACAGTTTGTTTTACTTCTTTTTTCAGAAAAAAAAACTGAATGACAAGTTTAATTGTCCGGTGTAGTAATAAAGCTACAAGCAATATGACAAGCGAGCATACACCGCTATTCCATGAAAAAAAGTGCATCTTTGGTATGACTCCTCCCCCATGCTCCTTCGAAGCAGACGAAACCATAAGGAGGAGCCACAAATTATAGCTCTGGCTTTTACACAAAATACGGCTCTAGCTCCTCTTGCATGAAAAAACTAGCTCCTCCTCTTGAGGTGTTCAATACTCTTCTGTTTCCTCTACTGAAGATGTTGTTAGAGCTAGAGCCGTGCCAAACAGGTCCTAATAAACCGATGAGAGTAGTGCCACTTCACTATGCATGGAAGTTTTACTTCATGGTGGCCACCTGAACTATATGGACACATGCAGCCGAGAGAATGTATTTAGCCTAGTTTAGCCTAGACATGTCATGGCATTGATTTTACGTTTGCCTAGTGTTATCCTAAACGGTAAACAACCGATCATTTGTTGTTTATACACTATTCAGGCAAAATGACCACTTAAAAAACGGGTAAAATGGATGTTTAAATGGGATAAACGGATGATTAAATGGAAATAGCATACCACCATGTAGCGTTAAACAAGGTGTATTAGGTGAAACTGTGTGTTTGCCACCATATCACATGCCTGCACAAAAAAAGTTTGCTCGTGCAACCAATAAAGCATTCACTTTAGACATGTAAAAATATGTTTTGAGTTTGACCCCTCGATAGCTACATACATGTGCATAAGGCGTCGCACATGCGTTGGATAACCATACAATTCTATGGATGGCAGGGAATAAGAGTGCCTTCTATATTAAGGGCAATAGGTTTACCATATACATGTCATAGAACTAATATCTTATGTTCACCGCCTTAGCTAGATACGGACAACTTGTCACCCGTGGAACTGATGACGCGTTAACCCTAACACTTAGATTCCTCGGGTCGTTAAACAACATTAGTAGCATTTGACGCATACTTTTTCATCACCCCCATGCTCGAGCTCCTTTTGCCATTATCACTAGGTGTGAAAACTACACTATGTTTAGGGGTGCATTTGCACCCCTCCGGATGCAAATACAATGGATTTGATTAAAATTTCACCACATATGTGCACCCCCTACAAGACATATTTATTCACTTTATAAGACAATTGCACCACCTTCTGATTTCCTCTAATTATTGTTGTCACATGTGCCATATTACTATGAACCCACATCTTTCTCGTGCATTACTCTACCTCTTTGATGATCCTCTACCCTACCAGCCGATGATGTTATCCCTGCTTTGCCTTGCTTGTCGTCCTTGCATTCACCATTGCCAGAAGCCAGCCTATGGTTGTAGTCATCATCCCTTGAAGCCCCTGATATCAGATGACCCTCCAAACCCAATTCAAGCCGCAACCCTAACTCTAACAAAGAAGATTTAACGCTATGATGTAGGGGCATGGGTGTGCGAGTGGAGAAACTAAGGCTTTCATGAAAAGAACTTGAAATGCATTCACTATCCATTTTTTGCCTTCTTTCACGTATCATTTTTGACACTATCTTTATACACTAAACAAAAGAGATGTGCAAAGCCACAACTTTGCCTTAGAAGAAATTATTACCTCTCAGACTACCAACTTGTTTCATCATATCAAAACTGATAATCACACCTTTAAATCCTTACTAAGTTAGAGTTATAAATAAAAGAGCCCAAAATTTGCAAAGGCGTTCAAAGTATCATTTCTTTTGACCATTCCTAAACGGTAAATAGCTAGTCACTTGTCATTTAGTCATTATTCGAGCAAAATGGTCACTTAACATGTAAAATGGATGTTGAAATAGGATAAATAGCCAATCAAATAGAAGTAATGTACCGTTTAAATAGTGTGTATTAGGCGAATGATGTGTTTGCCATCATAGCCACATGCATGCACAAAAAGGTTTGCCTATGCAACCAATAACACATTCACCTTAGACATGCAAAAAATGTTTTAGGTTTGACCCTTAGTAGCTACATACATACGCATAAGGTGTTAGCACATGTAACTAGAGATAAGTTTACCACAGACATATCATATAACTAATATCATATGTTCACCGCCTTGGCTAGACATGAACAACTTATCACACATACAGCTGATGACGCGTTAACCCCTAACACTTAGATTTTTTAGTTGTTGGACAACATTAGTAACAATTGACGCATTCTTCCTCCCCCATGCTCGAGCTCCTTTTGCCATTATTGCTATCACACGTGCCATACTACTATGCACCTGCAACCTTTTTCTCGTGTCTATTATCATATCATCCTACCTCTTTGGTCCTCTACCCTACCAACCAACGATGTCATCACCGCTTTGCCTTGCTTGTCGTCCTTTGCATTCGCAATCACCGCAAGCTAGCCTATGTCCACAGTCATTTGAAGAGATGACCCTCCAAACCCAATTCAATCCGTAACCCTAACTCTAACAAAGAAGAGGCATGGTCATGTGAGAGGAGAAACTCTAGTTTTCATTAAAAAAAGTTAAAACGCATTAGATACCCATCTTTTCTCCTTCTTTCACATATCCTCTTTGCCACTATCTTTATATACTAACTAAAAAAATGTGCAAAGCCATAACTTTGCCTCGAAGAAATTATTACCTCTCCAATTACCAACTTGTTTCGTCATATCAAAAATGATAATCGCACCTCTAAATCCTTACTAAGTTAGGGTAATAAATAAAAGAGCGTAAAATTTGCAAAGGCGTTCAAAGTATCGTTTGTTTTGCCATACATACGATGATGCAAATCGGTTGGCTTCGAGTCAAAATTTCATAGTTGGCACAGCGCCCATGTGATTAGAGATTCCTCAATCCCCACACCTTGATCAGGAAAAGTATCACATCGTTTGGTTCATTCCAGCCATCAAGATCACAAATCACAATAGAGGTTCCAGATCATTTCCTGTCCAGCACACAAAAGGCCCCTGCGCCCTGCCGGCTGCCCACCGGTTAAACCACACCAAAACACTCGCGAGACACAGTGAGATCTCTCGTCACGTCGCCAGATCCAAGCCCCAACCAAATCCGCGCGGCGGCAATGGCGGTGCGCCCGAGCCTCGCCTGCTTCCCCTCCGACCCCGTGCTCCACGAGGCCTGCGGCATGCCGTGGGGCGTCGCCGTCACTCCGTTCTCTGCAACAGATGAGCGCGGCTCCAAGCCGGCCACCGGCGCCGAGGGCCACATCCTCCCCCGCTGCCAGTCCTGCTTCGCCTACTTCAGCTTGCTCTGCCAGCTCGACCGCTGGTCCTGGAACTGCGCCGTCTGCGGCGCGGAGAATGACCTCCCCGCCGACGCCGCCGCGCGCTACGCCCGCGACGGTGGCCACGACCCGCCCGAGATGCGCTCCGCGTTCGTCGACCTCCTCCTCCCGGGTACACGCCTCTCTCTCGCCGTTCTGATTGGATGCAGCGCGCTGTGGTACGGTGCGGTATTGCTGTAACGTGGTGGTGGAATTTTGCAGGGGAGGAGGGCGAGGCGGCAGCGGCGGCGGCTCCAACGCCCGTGTACGTGGCGGCGGTCGACTTGTCCTGTAAGATCTTACAGTTCCTTCACAAGCTGTACACGTTTGACGCTAGCATAGCATTTTAGTGATTGGTACACGTGACTTTGTTCCTATAAAGAATATGACCCCGTACTGGTAATCATGCCTTGAATTTAGTACATTATGGTCCAATATGCATATATTGAGTGCCAGCAGAGGGTCGTCATAGATTGACACCCGTTGGTGCCTACTGCGCCCATGCCCTAAAAGGCTAAAACTCAGTCAAAGAGTGATGAAGTGATTGTTGATATTGTCATGCTGGTGTGTAATTGGTTGCTTTTATATAGTTGTAAAAGAGAAACAACGTTGCAGCATTATGATGATTGATGAACACAGTTTCAAAATTCCCTTTGAATGATGAAATCCGTTTCCATTAACCTGGTGCTTGACTTTTGGTGTTCCTAGCCAGTCAAATCTTTAGCCACAATTTGTTAGGCTTACAGCTTAAGTTATACTGTCTTATCTGATAAATGAATCATTAAGTTCTCCACAAACTTAAATTCAATAGTATATTCTGTGAGTTTTTATCTATACCTTTCGTACTTTCTCTCTCCTCTCTCTTTTTGGTGAAATTCACCTGTTTGTGATGTTTGTTTTTTCATATTGCATTTTAGCTTCAGAGGAGTTCTTGGAGCTAGTCAAAAGTGCTCTTCAAGCAGCTCTTGAAGGTGAGCTTAAGTCCTTGGAGCTAATTTTTGGTTGAAGCATAATACGTGGAGTTTTCATAAAGCTATATATGAACTAATCTTTTGATTCCGTGCAGCTCTTTCACCAGGATCACTATTTGGACTTTTGACATTTAGCAGCAAAATAGGATTATATGATGTCCAAGGTCCAATACCTATTGTGAAGAATGTGTTTATCCCTCCTGATTCTGATGGTGCCTTACAAGTCGACCTTGAAGATATCATGCCCCTTTGCTCATTTTTGGCTCCTGTATGTAAATTGTGCTGTTAGTTACAGTTTTCTCCTTATTTGTATTTGGCTTTGGCTTTTGGTCCCAGAATATTCATCTGACTTGTACTGTATGTGCTAATATCAAGTTACATCTTAACAGATTGATAGTTGCAAAGATCGCATTACTGAAGCACTTGAAACAATTAAACCAATGTCTTCCTGGGAAGTAGCTGCAAATGCGCACGAAGGACAGGATCATGTATTGCATCACATACGTGGTTTTGGTGTAGCGTTGGATGTTCTTATCAACTATCTAAGTTCAGAATATGGAAATGCATTCGAGCTTGGTATGTTAATTCCTTGAGCCTTTGACCACACTAATGTTTGTTATTTTGTTTCAAGACTGTGGGTCTGTGGTACTTGATTTTGTCTGCCACTATAACTTGTTCTGATATATATATATATATATATTAAAAAACAGCTAGGATATTTGCATTTTTATCTGGTCCACCCAATTATGGGGCTGGGCAGCTGGATATAAGTGAGGACCAAAATGCTGGTAAAGCAAGAGGTGCTGATCATGTATTGCTCCAGGAGCAGACAAGTTTCTACAAAAATCTGGTAATTTTGCACAAAGATTAGTCAATACACTATGAGAATATTTTAGAATATATCTGATTGGCATATCACAGGCTACTAGTGCTGTTCAAGCAGGTGTGTGCGTGGACCTTTTTGCCATTACTAATGAATACACTGACCTTACTTCCCTGAAAGTTCTGAGTATTGAGAGTGGTGGATCACTGTTTCTGTATTCAAGTACAGATGAATCAACACTTCCGCAAGATATGTAAGTTCAGTCACCATCTTTATGTTTCTCATGTATTCAGCAGTTAGACCATGACTTAAAATTAAATTATATTTAGATGATTTATTGTTTCCTTTACCAGATTTATTGGGTAAATGCTTAGGCTATTCTTCTTTATACCAATAGTGGAGAGCAGTCCCTAATAATAGATTATCAAAATTTTTATTATGTGGTCAATGTTTTAGTACTGGATTATGTTGAATTTGCTTAAACCCAAACAGCATGATGAAAATTAATGTTAGTTCTTGGCTGTGTGCTGCCTAGATGTTCATGCTATAAGATAGATACCCAAATGTATAAAACACGAAAGCATTCTGCATATTCTTTATGTGCACTGGTTTTATATACTTGTAGTAGCATATAAGGTCCCATAACATTTTTTATTATGGAATGGTGAAACCAAGGTGATACAAAGTAAAGGCTGACAAATCCACACCCATAAACAAGACGGCATTAATAACATGATGCTACCATGGATAGGGAATTCTTGATTCTTCTAGGTCCTTGAATTTTGAAACAAGATAAAGAACAAATGATCTGCCATATCATTAAAAGGAGTAAGTAGCTACAAAGCAGTAGCGCAGTACTCTGATTTTTTTTTATCTGCCTTTTGTTCAGATACAAGATGTTGAGTCGTCCCTATGCTTTTGGATGCGTAATGCGATTGAGAACATCATCACAGTTCAAGATTGCTGATTCTGTAAATACTCTGAGGGATATGTGCATTACTTACATCAGCTTCTTCATATGTAGTTGTGTCTGACATGTTTATTTTCTTTTATGTTCAACAGTATGGCCATTTCTTCCCAGATCCTCAGTACATGCATGTTCAGCACATAAATTGTTGTGACTCTTTTGCTACATACAGTTACGACTTTGAGTTTGAAAAGGATTCACAATTTTCCAGGTAACAAACATTCTATTTCCAGGCTTTCCCATAATATATGCTTTCCATAAGTTAACCCTCATTTTTTCTCAACCATAAGTAATATGGGATTTCCCTTCTGTGCTTTGACAAATAGAAACTTATATTATTCTGCATCCTTGGTTGTTTTCTTTGAAGGGTGCATCCTTGGTTGTTAGTAGTAATTAGTTGTGCGAAATTGTTTCTAGGTTGTTGTATCAGAAAATCAGATTTTCCCCTACTAGCTGGAATACCTAGAAGGCTAGGACTGCCAGTGGGTATAAGCCTTCTTTATTGAAGTCCTAATTGATTTCATATGTCAAACCTCTATTGAGGATATCAGTGAGTTGAGTTTAGACCAAAATAACATGTTTAATTGTGCCTGGCCAAGATGGTAAAGTGGAAGCCGATTTGTTGTCGCCATAATGAACCATGATGAAGTTCTGCATTCATTATTCATAGTTGAAATCAGGAAGGTTGAATTCTGTCTTGTAATGGAGCTGATCAAATCCATAAGAAATTTTGGAATACATTGACATGTCACACCTTCTCCATATGTCCCACATATTATGCTCAGAATTTCTTTCATAGTTTTTGTTTATCTTTATTTTGTATGGAGGAAGGGCGGGCCTGGTGCAAGCGGTAGAGTCTTACCGCCTGTGACCGGAAGGTCCCGGGTTCGAGTCGCGGTCTCCTCGCATTGCATAGGCGAGGGTAAGGCTTGCCATTGACACCCTTTCCCAGACCCCGCACAGAGCGGGAGCTCTCTGCACTGGGTACGCCCTTTATTTTGTATGGAATATTTCACCACTAATCAAAGGACAAGAAGCCTATAATTTATCTAAGGCAGATAGAGAATTTCAATATTAATTAGTGGAAATGAGAATATGATAACCTTTTAGTTGATGTTCCAACATCATCCTGACATTTGGGATCTAAAAGGAGTCTGTACAATGATGAAAGACAGCATAACTGGATATTTTCTACGAGGGCCTAAGTAGTATGCTATGCATATACGTCTTAGTGTCTTACAAAAATGAAACAAAGTTGTCTAAGAAACATGTTGCAATGGTTAATTGCAATTACTATTAATTGTGTTAGAAACAAATTTGAACAGCTAATATGTAAAAAGTAAACAACCAGCTGTGCAACCGTATGGCTACTAGCCCATTACATCAGTCACACAAAATAACTGTAAATCTTCAGCTAAATAGTTTGAACTGTTCTGTAAATGCACAGTTTATCTTCTAAATTCTTACGGCGCCATTTCTTTTTGTGCCTGCAGGAAGTCAAGCCCTCCTATTATTCAAATTGCATTTAAGTACACAGTGCTTGTGCACAATGGTGATACATCAGATTTTTCAAATTCTGGGAGCAGGTACATTTGTTTACAGCCTGTGATCAGTCATTCAAGTAGCACGTTACTGTTTTCAAGTCCAGTGTTCAAGTAGTGTGCTCACATTTCTATGCAATCTCTATATGTATCATTTATGGTTTTAGTCATTTTAGTGTCAATATTACTATTCTGAAATCTTCTCAAATCTCAATCTTAATTGACATCCTGCTGTATGTTTCTTATGTGCAAGATGTCCATGTTTCAGTGTAGACAATATAAACAAAGTAAACTTTGTGCGCTTCTGTAATGCTTAGTTTGCTTGTTAAGCATTTTCTGATTGGTAGATTAAGATTTGACATTCTAGCAGAAATTTCTATACACAAAGATAGGGTGATGATATATTTTGTAACGTAATGTACCTTTGCCAGATCTAAATACTTGTTGGAAAGGAGGCTAAGAGTGCGGACTATCCAGTACAACACAACTGCTAATATCTGGGACCTTTACGACTTTGTTGATCCAGATGTTGTTTTGACAATACTAGTACACCAGGTAGAATCTTTATCAATATTTTGTTGATCGAGCACAAGTCTGATTCGTTGTTTGTTGTAAGCACATGATTTTGATTATTGTCAAAGCAGTGACTGTTGTCCCCTTACTACAACTTTGCTACAATTACAGTCGGTAACCAAGTGGTGCAGTGTAATTTCTTCAGTCCAGCAAATGTTGAATTCCCCTATTTGAAAATGCATTGTCTGATTGTGTTAATATGCAAGAAGAGATCTCAATTTCATCAGTGTTGGACTGTCATGGTAAAGACTAAATAGTGTACCCACAATTCAGGACAAGAAATTCTATCATGGTTTAAACTCAACCATCTCATTTACCAATGCACAATCCTAAGGGGACATACTGTATGTGACTGCCTGATTTCACTTTGCATTCTGAACATATATATGCCCTTACCAATACAAATTCCAGCTTGCTGATCAAAGTACAAAACAAGAAAGAGAAATGTGTTTATGAATTATGATTGCCATGCCTATCTGTTTCACAGGCCATTCAATTTCAGGTTTAAACAGAGTTCCATTTTCAGGTTATTTTGGCTTCTTTAAGTGATGAGCTGGAAACAAGGCTGTGGCTCCAAGATTGGTTGGTGGTTGTCATTGCTCAGTACAACAAAGCATACAAGAATGTCACATCTGGAGGTGGTACTGAGACGTACAATATTGATGTTAATTTCTCGCACTGCTCACAACTGCAGCCTCTGTCACGGTTTGTGTTTGCTATTCTATTAAGCCCCCTGCTTCAAGTCAGCAGTGAAGGCATTCATCCAGATTATGTGACATATTTGCAATGCCTCTTGAGGTAACGTCTCTTCTTCTGTAACTAATCCTAGTTCATTAGGTGTAAACACTTCCGAGAGGATAGCCAGGCATAGTCAACTACTATGGGAGGCATTAGACTATAGATTGGAAAGTCTTAAATTGATTCTTTATCACTTTATTGCTTCCAAAGGGCTGGCAAGGGGCCATATATAAACCTTAGCCACCTGAATGTAAGTCTGTAATAACTTGACTAGCAAACTCTAGATAAGATGAGAGCCTAACATACAATAGATATCCTAACTAATCTGTCTTAACCTCCCTAATCTCATGCTGAAGTACCGAGGTACTATTCGTGTGCCTTAATAGCAACTCTGGCATACCGTTAGCTTGTTATAGAACTTAGCACTAGCTAGGGGAAAATACGAATTTATGTAGTTTGTTGAGCTTAAAGATGAGAGCTTGTAACTGTTTCTAAGAAGAACAAGGATTTTGAGCCCATGTTCTGATCCCACCTGTGGGCTGCATTTAAAAAAAAAAGAAATATTGAGATTTCTCGTTTTATTTTCTTATTATCGAGCTATGGAAGTATGGTTTTACATATTTCAATTTGGATGACTGTTGTACGGAGTATCAAACACAATAGTAAATGTGGAGGCACATTATATGGGTGATGCATGTAAGCTTGTATATGATGCAACCACAGGCATGAAGCTTGTGTTATTATGTCGTGGGTGGTAGTTGAACCAAAGTGTAAATACATTAGAATTTACGCGGATCATAGTTACTGATCTCCTACTTATCTGACTAGTCAATTCAAATTTAAGTGTTGGTTTTCTGGTATTTTTTCCGTCTCATCTTACTTTTGGTAGTTCAATTTGTGGCGGTTAGTCTGGGAACATCTAAACTTGATTTCAATCGACATTAGATCAATATTGTTTACATCTATTTTATGGGCAGTGCACTGGAGCCAGCTTCGCTTCGGCAGGCTATTTGGCCTACGTTGATTTCATACTCCTCCCCTGATGTAGAAGCAGAAGTACATCAATCACTAAGCCGGACCGTGTTCACCAGTGAGAGGCCAATATTTCTTCTTGATGCATACAAAGACCTTCTGGTGTATTACTCACCTACAGCTAGTAGCCAAATCCCTTTTCCTCCTCCACGTGACTGTGAGAATAATCTTTTTCTTTCATTCATCATGCACTCTCACTAAGTCATTATCCTACCAATGTGTGCCTCCTCTCCTGTCCTAACAATGAAATGACGTTGGCAGGTCTGCTGAGATCAACAGTCGATAGACTAAAACAAGAAAGGAATATAACACCCAAACTGGTTTTCATTCACGGAGCACATGATGACACTACAGAATTCGAGAACTACCTTGTTGAGGATCAGACCTTGGATGGCTCCCTATTATCTAGCTCCACAGGTTTCAGCTCATTCCTTGATGAGGTTAGAAGTAAAGTGGCTGAGCATAGCATTTGAGGACCAGTGTCACCTGTCTCTCGATTGCTGAACTGGATGTTATACGGGTCATGACCCTTGCAACCCAGAAGTACTGTCATGAATAGAAAGAGTCAAGTACTTTGCTGGTTTACCAGCAGACGTTTTTGTATCTATATGGTGTGTGCTTGATGGGTTCGCCATTTTTTACAGATAGATAGATGAATTTTAAAGCCTTCCTTAACAAGGCCGCTCTACAATGCTATAGGTGTGGTGTTCAAACACTCATGCGCTATATATTTGCAGATTGCCTGTTGCTAAAATACGCATTTGCTACATCCATTGCTGAAATACTCGTTCACTATATTTCTAGATTGCTCTATAGTTCGAAGGTGCTTGATATCATTTTCAGCGTTTGGTGTTGCAATGTACGTACTGTTTTTCCTCAAAGATTATTACTTCTCTTACGTTGTTTCTGTCGCTACCTCAGTTACACGTTTGCTACCTGGTGATTCTGAAACGCACCAATCTAGATTTTGTACTAGTGGCAGCATAAAACATATATATTTTTTTCCCAAAGTGAATACATTTATTTCGGCAGGAAGCCTGAAGGCATATATACAGCTCAACTACTGCATCCTGCATGTATACAAGGGGGAAGGGGAAAATGTAAGGATGTGCTTTTCATGCGTGGGAAAATTGTTAAAACCCTAAAGCCTGATTTGACCTTTTGTGTGGAGGAGGATCTTGCAGCAGGTAGGAGGCAATGCTGCTGAGGCAGCCTGCTATTTTCTCCGGCAGGCGACCTTTGATAATGTTGACAGATTTGTTGCTGTTGGCATGAAACAAGGTTTCAAGAAGCCAAAGTTCTGAGCAGGGCTCAGGAAAGAGATGTGATTCTATCTATCGTTTTCTTTCATGGTGAATGATATGCACATATCTTCATGAGAGAATTACCCATGCCAAGTCTCACCCTAATTTGGACTCCTGATCTTTGGTGAGCTGAAGTGACCATCTTGAGACAAAAATGCTGGTTTTGACATCTCTCGCAATTCACCACGCTCTAGTGAAATAATCCTGTCAGCCATTAGGACCATTTCCTGTCGATGAGCAATGATGATAACCTGTATTCAATCACAGCAAGGGAAGAAGTTACTTAGCAATATATTGATATTGGAAAGCACGCCAATGCAGGAATGGCCACACAAAAAGACTGTGAGAGTGTTTTGTGATTAGATTACTAAGTGCTTTCAGTAGCAGCTCAGATCTCATATCCAAAGCAGAAGTTGCTTCATCCATTATCAATATGGAATAATTCTGATAGATTGCCCTGGCAATAGACAAAAGGGGGCAGACCCAGTGCCGGAGGCTCCAACATGAGTGGGGTCTGGAGAAGGGAAAAACCGAGGCAAGCCTTCCCCCCGCAAAATCTACGGAGAGGTTGCTTCGAACCCGTGACCTGGTGACTCAGTGAGATAGCTCTCACCACTGCACCAGGCCTGCCCTTCATTGCCCTGGCAATAGACAACCTGCGGAAAAAAAACACTGTACAAATTAAACGGATCTGCTCCGGTACAAAAGAGGCTACTGGATAGTGTGTGGTCAACATGTTTCACTTGTTTAGCTTGTGATACAAGGTAGTCTGAAAACTGGAAAGCGAGTTACCTTTGCTTCTGTCCACCGCTCAAACTAGAACCTCTCTGTCCCACATTTGAATCGTATCCTTCTGGCAACATCTTAATGAACTCCTCAGCATTGGCAATCTTAGCAGCGTACTCAACCCTATTCATGTTAATATCTCCCACAGGGTCTCTATAAGCAATGTTTTCAGCAATTGTCCCAGAAAATAGCATCTATGAAATAAACAAGAAATGAATAATGCGGGAACACAATGATAATGAAAAACATACATAACCCTACACGCAAAACATAGAGATACTTAGAATTGTATCTTTTGTTGACGATTGAGCACTACTGAACTAGTTTTTTCATTAGAAGTGCATATGAAAGGTTAACAAAATATCATTTCAAACACAGAATATGATGCGGCAGAACAGCAATCACCAAAATGGAGAACTAAGAGTTCCATACTTGAACATACAATTTCTGATCAAGAACTTGAACCACTTAGTATAATAGATTTATCCATCGGTTGACATGAAAATATGACTTTGCTATTCACATGATACAATGATCTAACCGCAGGACAATACTGTTTCACAAATAGAAAACAAACTATAAAATCTTAAAAATATGACTTACATTCTATTTGCCACGTGTCTCTGCATTTACAAAGGATCTAATCTGGGAAGATAACAGCATTTGAGGAGACAACAATAGAAGGGGAGATCATGTATGCACCAGACTTACAGTGTCCTGTGAAACAAAAGCAATATGTGTTCTCAAGCATTGCAATTGAATGTCCTGAATATCATGGTTGTCCAGAAGAATATACCCTACAAGGAAACAGAATTAAATCCATGCTATAAGAAACTATACAGTTTAAATGACCAAGAAAAAGGAAGTGTGAAATCTTGAGCTTTAGGTAAAAGACGAAGACATATACAAGGATTTATACAAAATCTGCTCATTATTTTACTGCTGTTTAGTTCAATACCTTTTTGTGGATGATAAAGACGGAGGAGTAATTTGGCAAGAGTAGTTTTGCCTCCACCAGAAGGTCCAACAAAAGCAATTATTTCTCCTGGTCTAATATGAAGATTCACACCATCTGCCACTGGAGGCATGCCATCATCATATCTAAATGTAACATCATGGAACTTAATGTCCCCATTAACACTTTGTAAATGAATTGCCCTTGGCTTATCAGTCACCTAGAAACACAAAGAAGGAAGTGACTCATCACTAGAGTGAAACAACAACAATGTACCACATTTTCTTGGTTAAATCAAAACTAAGCACATTCTGCACAAAATGATATTTTCTCGAAAACTGAAATGTCGAATTAATTTAATCAAACCCCAATACATTTCTTTGTTCCTTCAAGCAGCGTCTCCACCGGCAAAGGATAACTAAAAGAAACTTGATCAGCTTATACAAAATAAAATAGTTAAATAGGTACGCTGCAGATCTCCTGGGAAGAGTAATCAAGGTTATAGACAAAATTTTCCATGGGTTCTTATGGAAGGGAAAGGAACAGGCCAATGACGGCTATTGTACACAGCCAGTCAAACCATGGGTGGAATTTGAGCTGCTGATCTATGCAAATGTTAAGGCGCCATTTTCAATCTTGACGGTTTCCCCGGTGGGCAATGGCAGCAATTCATTTTGGTCAGATAGATGGTTATAGGAGCAGACGGTTTTTGAGCTTGCCTCTCATCCAGTAGCCCTTGTTCCTAAACGAATAGTCTACAAGCGTCTTCTGCCGAGGATATACGTGGAGCACCTTCTGTCATTGCTTCGGGAATATCTAGACATTTCGGATATCATGTCTTGCGTTCAAATTTTTTTCCGGATATCATGTCTGAGTTGATATCAACACCGCTGGAACTTCTCCAAGTCAGGTGTTTATTCGGCAAAATTTGCATACAACACATTCTTCTATGGATCCATTAGTTTTTGAGCTTTTGAAATATAAAACTTGGGCTCCAATGAAATGCAAATTGTTTCTCAGGCTGATTGGCCATAACCTCTACTGAACAGCTGACTGTTTACGCCCTGTTCGTTTGGGCTTGTTTTGGCTTGTTTTCAGCCAACGAATAGTATTTTTCTCTCACACCAAATCAGCCAACAGTACTTTCAGCCATGGCTTATAAGCCAAACACGACCAAGTGAACACTTGAAGATGTCTTATCACCTGGAGACATGCTCGCTTTGAGACCAAACTAATGAGTCTACCCATCACCGCTTAACCACCCATGTATTTGCTAGGAAAGTGTGTTTTGTTAAAAACACCCTTGTATCCCCACTTCAGGAGACACCAACCAGTGTTCAAATCCTCGTGGCAGCCCAACAAAAATAGTGGCAGGCACTGGCCTATGGTGACATCTGCTTGTGGTTTGGTTTGGGCCTAGTTGCAGCGTGATCTGCCCTATAGGGTGAAGCTGGGTTTGGGGGGTTCTCAGCCGGTATGGTTGAGAGTTTGTTCTTAACATAATAACGCGGGGAGATCTTTCTGCCACCAGCCTAGTTTTTTGTTAATTTATAATTTTATTTGCTAAGCAGGTTTGTGTTCTATTCAGGAGATTCGGCCTCCAGATGTGTTACTACTGTGAACTGATTTTGTTGTTGGTTCGTTCATGTTTGTGGCATGTGATATGATCTTTATACAAGTGGGTGTGTGCAAGTGTGCAGGTGTCATGAACCATTTTCTCTATTTGAATGCACCTCTCCTGCGTGTTCAAGATTTTTTTTTTGTAATGAAAAGATTAATATACTTTTGGATAGTATAGCCGTATAGGTTACTGAATACCCTTCTTATAATATAATGAAAAAGGAAAAAAAATCAATCAATAAGAAACAAGAGATAGTGAGTACCTCAGGGTTGAACCTCATAAGATCAAATATGCATTCTAATGCTGGTTGTCCTTGCTTATATTCATTGTATGCCTTCCCTGCATCCTATGCATTAGAACAAGCTGCAATTATAACTAAATCAAGATCATGCTTAATACAAAAGAAGTGGCACATGACTACATGCAAGAAAATAATAGGAACGAAGGTAAATATACTATCACATATTCTTTATAATTTTCAAAAGTTTTCTCAAACAAAATAACCATCTCTTCAGCTTCCAATGCAAACATCCTTTGATAATTCTTATTCATGAGACAAAGTCTTCCGGGGAAGATAATGCTCCCACGGAATGGAGAAAGGAAATTTGTAATTATTTAGGACACTGAATTGCATGAACATTTTCAGTACACAAAGCGTACTTCAAATTTAATAATTTATTTTTACAATCTAGGCAATTATCTTATTGGCATAATTGCATATGTTTATCCATTTTGATTTAAAGTAGCTAGTGTAAATGTGTAACTTCTCTTACGTTCAAAAAACAGTGTAACTTCTCATACAAGAAAAAAAGGTGAGAAAGCAACATACACAATAGGAAACTAATTAATGTAAATGCTCAATTGACCTGAATAGGCTCCACAACAAGAGCAAGTGCTGTCAGGAAAGACAGAAACTCTTCAGCATCAAAGGATGAGCCCGAAACAACTATTGACCCAGCACAGAGCACAAGCAGGCCCCCAATGTATGTTGCTCGAACAGCTTGAGGTATGAGAGTCTTCATTTTCTTCTTACTCAAATTATTCTTTAGATCAGCACGAGCTAACTTTTGGAATCTCATGATCTCCTTAAGTTCCCCGTTGTTTGCCTTCACAGTGAGCATAGACGGAAGTACCTACAAAGGAAATTCGTAAAGTTGTAAATAGAAGTCCTTGCACAGCCGTTGATTATTTTTCATATGCAAGTGAACAATTAATTACGACTAAACCAGACATCGTTGAGATATGCTGTGAGCATGGCAAGGCTACGATGCGCCTCCTTGGATATTTGACGAAGCCTTTTACCAAGATTGACTATGACGAAGCACATGCATGGAATTACCTGTTTATACAATGGAAATTAAACAATGCAAATAGAAGTGATCATGAAACAACAATATGAACTGTGGACTTGGCTACCGTTGCTGCAAGCAATGAGAGCATGGGATTGATTGTCACCATCTGAATGGCCATCGTTATCAACTGCAAGCTTGTCGGCACAATCGTCTGTGTCAAATTAGTAGTCAGAATCCATGTATGTGCAAAGTACCATGCATTGGCACAATTGGACACTCGGACTGTTACCATTACAGCAGCCATAACGATTTGTGTTATTTTGGAGGTTTTTGCATCCATGATTGAAGTAATCAACATATTTGAAGTTCAGAAAGTGCAATCAAATTTGGTGAAAATTTGACCGGTTACCAGATGCTTACTAGTGGTAGTGGAAGATCTGGAAGAAAACTCAAATTCAGAAAGTTCAAATTTTGAATCTGAAGACTACCAAATCAACAATTAACTAACTGCTATGCAGGCATTTCCTCGAACAGTTAACCTACATTCCATAAAACTAATCAAACATGGCAACCTACACATAAGCAAGCATTTCTACAAAGGTTTGTTGTTCACTGAAGCGAGTGCGAGTCGATCGGCAACAGATAAAACTAAGGACGAATGCAAGGCTCCAGGAACCTCACGTTGAGCACGGAGAACAAGGCGTCCGCGACATCGTCCGCCTCATCGGTGATCCGGTGCGCGATGTCGCCCGCAGCCACCCCACCCCTGCCCTCGAAGAACGCAAGGTCGCGCTCCAGGAGGCGCTTGAAGGCGCGCTCCCGGAGCCGCCCCGCCGCCCGCAGCGCCGCCTCCCAGAGAAACGCCTGTTGCGCGTACGCGGCGGCGGCGCGCGCCGATGCGAACGCAGCGAGGGTGACCCCGCCCCTGGCCGCCACCTCAACAGCCGCGCCCCCTCCCCCGCCGCCGCCGGCGAGCGCGCGCGGCAGGCGCCCCGCGGCGGGCACTGTGCGGGAGAGGCAGTATACGGCGACGGCGGCGCACGCCCAACCCTTCGCGACGGTCTCCCACTCGGCGGTAATGTAGGGGAAGACATCGGCTAGAGGATAAGGCGGCGGCGGCGGCTTCGCGCCACTGGCGGTGGCGCGAACACGGAAACTGAATCGGAAGGCGCACGCCGCAGCCGGTGTCGGGATCAGAGCCCGCGTCCGCGCATGAGCCACGCCAACGTGGGTCCGCGGCGAGAGGTACGGGTTTGAGGTTAGAGTTCGGGAGACGAGGGTGGAGAGGCGGAGCCACGGCCATGGCGTCTGAAGTGGCATACGATGCGATCATGCGAAGGTGCGGGAAAAAGATGCGACGTCGCCGGCACCAGGACAGAAAGCTCAAAGCTGAACTGCTCACGCGCCACGTCACCAACGTCTACACCTGATGGGCCGGCTCTCTCTAAATCATGCTCGACTCAAGGGACTGCTTAGATTCATTAGCACTAGCTACTAATTTTAGATAGATACTTCGTCCGTACCAAATTATTGATGATATTTCTACGTTCGTAGCTTTTACAATGTATATATATATATATATATATATATATATATATATATATATATATATATATATATATAGAGAGAGAGAGAGGGGTACGTAGTAAAAATTATGAAACTAGAAAAGCTAAAACGTTTTATAATTTAGAACGGAGGAAGTAATTTTTAACATAGTGCTGCTTAGATCCACATGCTAAAAGGTGGTTGGGCAGTGAGTTGCAGGTGCAAATAAACTATTAGCACTTATTAACAACTCTAAACCTACTAATAGAACTAATAGTTAGCAACCTAACTAATAGTTAGCAGATTTATTAGCAAGTATGTTTGCTAGTACTCATGATCCAAACAAACCCTAAATCCCTTTTCATTTTCTGCTATTCAAAATTGTCCTTTTTTACTACTCTTTAATTTTGAAAGACTCTTTAAATACAATATAGGTGACTTCCTTAGGATTTTTTCACACATACTACTCCGTCCCATAAAAAATCGCTATGGGACTTGTGAGTTGTGATGGTCAGACTTTTGACTAGGTTTATAGAAAATATTAGCAACAATTGTATTTTCAAATAAACTTATTAGAAATATGTATTCAATGATCTATCCGATAATACTAATTATATACTATAAATATTAATATTTTCTTATATATATATTTGGTCAAAGTTAAAAATATCTAACTTTTCGGGAAGCGAGAATTATGGGACGGAGGAAGTAAATTTTTTGATAAACTATTAAACTATAGCGAAAAATTAGAGAATTTGTCAGAGACGTGACAAATACAAAGAGAATATTCATTGAGTGACTCTCAAAATAGAGATATAGAGATTAGCACAATCACAGTTGACGATGCTAATGTTCCATTTGGTCCGGCTCTAAACGACTTTGGCTTCTTGGTACTGTTGGCATAGGAGCTGAGACCGGTGAAACAAAAAATAATGACTCTATTGGCTCCTTGTCTATTTTAATAGGAGAGATAAAAAAGACTTCTTGCTATAGTGCACAGAAAAACTCGGAGCGGGCTGGAGCTCTAACAAACAGGATCTAATTTACTGGTGTTTGTTGCTGGTTGGCAAACGACTTTCGGTTTCTAAGAAAATTGTTGGCCTCTTGTTCTTGGCGGAGAGGCTAAAGGGACGTTGATTGTCTAGGACTAGTTGTCAGTTTAATTAAAAGTTAGTCATCCAAAATTTAATCAACTAAATATAGAAGCAAATGGGTATACCCACGAAACTATATGTAGGTTTAATTTTATGGAATTCCTAGCGCCCAGACATCCGGCGCGCGAGATGTGTCCAGACGTCGCTCCCGTTCCCAAACCTGCCCGCCCCGCAAACGCGAATAGAATCGGATCGAAATAGAATTGCGTTCACCGCGCCCTTGTCCCGTTTCCCACCACGCCCCTGTCCCAAGAGCACGAAACACTTCAAAAAGTGCAACATCCGAATATAAATATTGCAACATCACAAAAATCATATAGTGCAACATCAAAAATTATGTACTGCAATATCAAAAATTATGTACTGTAACATTCGAAAATTATGTACTGCAACATCTCAAGCAGTAGTACTGCAACATCGCAAAATCAATCATGAAACATGGAAATAAAAACAACTCAATAATCATCTTTCGGTGTTGCAACATTTGAAAAAGGTAATTTCAACATTTAAAATCCCCTACTACAACAATCCCAACATTAGAACCCCCTTTCCGCAACACATGAATCACCCTATTGCAACATTCAAAAATCATCCGTTGCGACATCCCCAAAATCCTATTGCAACACGGAGAAACAACAAAACGGCATACAAAACAACAAAGGGGATGAGTTCGAGGTGCAAGCTGCTTCAGCCCCTGGCCCATCACCTTCGAGCTCGTCGGAGAGAGGAGGAAATAGGACCCCAGAGCTCGCTGGAACCCTAGCCACCACCGCGTCCCTCAGATCTAGAGGAGGAAGAGGAGGAGAAGGAGAAGGAGGAGGGCTCAGATTCAGAGAAGGACCGACCAACATCGTCGGAGCCGTCACCATCGTCCTCGTCTCTGGTGGGGGGAGAGGGAGCTGGGTCGTTGGGGAGCTGCAATGGAGGTCGTGGAGGGGGAGTGAGGGAGAGAGGGGGCACGGGGACGACAGCGAGCTAGCGCGCGGGCGCGGCGTCCGTCCTGGGGACGCTAGCAGACCCGAAAAGTGGGTGGGTGAAAGGGTCGAGATGGCGGACTAGAGGGGGGGTGAATAGTCTTTTCTAAAATTAATCGCGTCGGCTAACCGATATAAATACGGAATTAAAACAATCGGTCTAGCCAAGACTACACCCCTCTATATATGCTTACTAGCACCTTGCCAAGATACTAATTATGCAACTAAGGTGCCGGGCTAGCTAGAGCTCTCCTAAACAATTCTAGGAGCAAGGTCACACAAACCTATGCCACTAGTACTTTAAGCAACAAGGGAGCTCCTACACATGCTAGTAAGCAAAAGCACAAAGCCAACTAAGCTCACTAGCAAAGCTCAATAACAAGGCAACCAATGCCTAATTAGAGAGCGCAAATACTTAGCTACACGAATTAAGCAATGTGACTAACAAGGTTACTAAAACCAAATTAACCACACAAGGGAGCTACTTCTATGCTACACAAGCAAGAAGGTAACTAGTAAGCTACACAAGCTAACTAATTACAAGAGCAACTACACAAGCTTAAGATATATAAAAGTAATTGCAAGCTTGTGTAATGGGGATGCAAACAAACGGGAAGAATAAGGTTGACACGATGATTTTTCTCCCGAGGTTCACGTGTTTGCCAACACGCTAGTCCCCGTTGTGTCGACCGCTCACTTGGTGGTTCGGCGGCTAATTAGCATCACCCGCTAAGCCCGCACGTCGGGCACCGCAAGAACCTACCCCTTGAGTGAGGGTAGCTCAATGACACGCTTTACTAAAGTTGCTCTTCGCGACTCCCGCGGGGCGAGCACAAGTACCCCTCACAAGCACTTCTCCGGAGCGCTGCACAAGCTTCTTGCGGGCTTCGACGGAGACCACCACCAAGCCGTCTAGGAGGTGGCAACCTCCAAGAGTAACAAGCACCACCGGCTTGCAACACGACCACCTAGTACCACTCGATGCAACCTCACGATGCAATCGCACTAGAATCGCTCACTCACACAATCGAATGATCACTATCAAGTATATGTGTGATGGAGGGCTCCCAAGCACTCACAAGCATGGACACTAAGTCCCTTGAGGTGCTCAGCTACAGCCATGGCCGAAGGCCACTTCTATTTATAGCCCCAAGGGCTAAACTAGCCGTTACCCCTTCACTGGGCAACGGTCGGGCCGACCGGACGCTCCGGTCGTGTTGACCGAACGCTGGACCTTAGCGTCCGATTGCCCACAGACGGCCACGTGTCCTGATTCCAACGGTCACTTGACTTGACCAAACGCAGCAGCTTTCAACTGACCGGACGCTGAACCCCCAGCGTCCGGTCGTTTCCAGTAAGGTACCGACCTTGACCGGACGTGTCCGGTCACACTTGATCGGACGCAGCCAGCGTCCGGTCACACTCCAGCTTCTGCGTCATCGTACGCTAGCCTGACCGGACGTAGCCTGCCAGCGTCCGGTGCATTCAGATCCAGCGTCCGATCAGTTGACCGACGCCAGCATCTTCATGACTAACTCGTTTTTACTTCTAACTTCATCACCCTTGCTCCAATGTGCTAACCACAAGAACTTGCATCCAGCGTAATAGAAAATAGGCATTCTATTTTCCCGAAAGCGCCAAATCCCGCCGAGCTTGCGAGGCGGGAGGGAGAGAGGGACCCAAACCCATCTCACCCCTGCAAACACCACCTCCTTTGTAAATGTGCCAACACCACCAAGTGTACACCATCATGTGTATGTGTGTTAGCATTTTCACAATCATTTCCCAAAGGATGTTAGCCACTCAACTTGCCACGCCACTCGATCCTAGTGACAATGCAAAGTTAGATCACTCGAGTGGCACTAGATGACCGATATGCAAACAAGTTTGCCCCTCTTGATAGTACGGCCATCTATCCTAAACCCGGTCATCAACTTCTCTACATACCTATGACCGGTGAAATGAAATGCCCTAGGTTATACCTTTGCCTTGCGCATTCCATTCCATCTCCTCCAATGTCGATGCAACACATGCACCAACACGATCAACAATGATATGATCCACTTCATATCATCACGTGATCATATTGGTTCATCGATCTTGACTTCACTTGCCCTTCACCGTTGCCATCGTCCATCGGTGCCAAGTCTTGCTCAAGCTTCACCGCCACGTGGTCCATCACTCCAAAGCCTTCGACTTGCCCTTCACGCTTGCAACCGGTCCATCAAGCCAAGTCTTGTCTTGATCTTCTCCACCTTGATCACATGACTCAATGTCATGTCTCATGTGCAATAAGCTCCTTCATCATCACATGTGTGAGCTTTGCAACATCTCCAAGCCATTTTCACCTCCATGGCATATGTTGCTCATACACATGTACATGTGGACTAATCACCTGTGTATCTCACATAAACACAATTAGTCCACCTAGGTTGTCACTCAATTACCAAAACCAACAAGGACCTTTCAGTGGGTGGAGCGGCAGCGAGTGGGTGGACGGAGAGGCAACGAGTGGGCGCTGGGGAGCGGGGGGTGGGGGGAGGGGTCACGGGATGGGATAAGGAGTGGCCACGTCTGGACACGAGTTGAGGGCGAACGTCCTAATAGAATCATTATCGTTAATTTTATAGTTTGTCATGGGTTACCT